GTTCTTTCCTTGCCGTTGGCAGCTTTTCTCTCTCGTGCTGAAGTCCATACACGAGACTGTAGTCTTTCTTCGAAATAAAACAAATAAAGCACATGATAGGCCTTTAAATACATGACAGTAATTATCGATAGCCTATCCTGGCCCCGAGGCTCATTGTAATACTTACAGGCTTCAAATGAGTCGGGTAGTCTTCAAAGATTGACGGTACGGCATCAACACGCAGACGTGTTTCCCCCCCCCCCCATTCCACCTTGAAGCACTCTGCAGGGAAATGGTCGCTGCAAAGACGATCGTGCTTTGTTGGATTCCATTTGCTGCCATTTGGAATATTTCTCATCGATGTGTTCAAACTAGGAGAATGGTGCATTTTCTTTAATCACCCACATCCCACAACAAAAAGTGACTCCCAATCCTCGTTCCCCCGCGGAGTCGGACTATTATTGAAAAGTAGGAGAGGGGAGGGTGATGTTAGGCCAGAAATAATTGTTATTCGATGTTCAGGATCAGGAGTACCATCTTAACTTTTAAAACAATACACTGAAAATATTTTAAGTAGGCCCTACGCGGTTATTACAAAATTCGGAGGATCCTTTGGATCACACATGGGGGATTTTTCTCCACACCCATTCCTGTGATTTATGCCCATTTGGCATTGCGTAACGTAGCCTATATTGAGTTAATTTTGATAAAAGCTGTCTTGTTCGAAATGTACTCTCAAGAGATAAATTCTGTGTATTAAGTTACTCTTACATGATGTTAACTTCTTGAGAGACTGTTCTCCGGGTCCCTTTCTACGTCTTAGTTCAACTTTGCTGCCGCACAGATTGCCGCCATTTTCAAGCAGTGATGGAGTACAAGTGATCGTCATGCCCAAGAAACGCACGTTTAAATTTTTGACCCTATTCACGTGACCAATGGCAGCGTCCTGTCAAAACGCGCGTATCATACGCGCGCCCGATCTAGTTTTTAAAGTTCTATATCTATGGGCGCGTTGCGTTTTGAATTTAAAACTATAAAATTCTGACTCCCTGGTAGTGTTGCACATGCCTACGTGAGGATTGTGAACGTTCAACCAATGAAACGATAAGAGGCACTGGATTTTTAGGAGTCTACATTTTATTGTGACACTGGAAAAGTGTTTAAGTCCAGCTAGCCATGTCTTTATCATCCGTTTAAGACCGGCCACGTGACGGGCTCTCGACCAATTGGAATGCGTAAACTGTCTTAGGTATTTATGATATCATTTCACACACCCACCCCGTATTAAATCATGTGCGTCCTGATTTTTGTTTAGACACAACCGACTAAAAAATGGCCACAAAGCACAAACGCGTGCTGACAGATGAGAACTGAATGATATCCTCGCAACTAGAAAGTACTGCATAAATATTATAAGCAATTTTACCCATGCACTTGAAGGATACCAACTTGAGAATGTTAATAATCCCTTGAATTTAATAATGCATCCACAGTGCATTCGTATTGTAACAATTGCACTGATATAATGGGTTTGGGGGATATGTCAACAATACGCTTTATATTCCGCCACGCTGAAGAAAAGTAATAAAAAAACTTTATAACAAAAATCCATTTGTTCTTAAAGCCCTGGGGCCAATTTCATAGAGCTGCTTAAGCACAAAATTTGCTTAAGCACAAAAACGTCTTGCTTAATAAAATCATGTTACCGGCCAAACTCCATGTGATTGTTACGCTAAGTAAACAGCAGCTAAATACCGGTCACAAGCAATGTATATCACATGGAGTTTTGGCCGGTAACCTAGTTTTACTTAGCAATGTTTTTTCGTGCTTAAGCAAATTTTCTGCTTAAGCAGCTCTATGAAATTGGGCCCATACGTCACGCGAAAGCGAAAGCGAAGCGAAATTCGTGACGTCAACAATACATTCGAAGCGCGTCCACCATAGGTGACGACATGAATTTCGCTTCGCACAAGCTTTCGCGTGAAGTATGAACCGGGCTTAAAGGGGCCGGGGCGAAATCCGCCTCCCTCAACTTTTTCCGCGATAGCTTTAAAAAAAAAAACAATTCGCGACCCGAGCTGTTCTGACTTTTTATCCTCGAGCCTTGCCCGTTTTTTGATACCAAAAACATAAAAATCAGACAAACTTAAAAAAAAAAACGTTCCGGCACTACAAGCCGGGAAAGTAGAATAACCATTCATGCATATTAATAATAAATTCCAAAACCCTTGACCTATGGTCATGAAATTTCTTGGGTATGTTCATGATAAGTTGTTCTATGCGTGTACCGATTTTCAAAATGTTCATCACTTGATGGCCGAGATCTTTAAGGATCTCAGGCGGAATCCCCCCCCCCTCCTCGGCTGAGAGGTGGTCAAAATAGCCCGACCCTTTTAGGGTTAAAGTTAAAACGTGTTTGTATGAGGTAATTAGGCACTGGTGGGTTATGCGAAGTGTTGGGATGATTAACCATCATTTTCAGTTTGGAAAATGCCAACTGAGTAGAAAATCCCAATGTTTCCTTAGATTCGTGAAATAACACTCGTCATACAATCTCCAGTCATTGCTTTAGGTCTTTGATCCCATTTATTATTTGTCCTCCGCTATTACCCCCTTTACAAATCAAGGATCCGCCATGCAGGGTGAGGTTTTATACACCATAAAAACTGTATCTGTCATAAAAAATGACGTGAGAATTTGCCTACAAGTAGCCCTAAAGTAGGCCGAAGTAGGCCTATAGGTTCAATAATTCGGACACACGCATGTTTCGTTATCACGTTATTTCGCAATACTATTACGTTATTTTGCAAAAGTATTGCGTTATTTCGCAAAAGCATTGCATTATTTCGCAATACTTTTTGCGTTATTTCGCAATATTATTGCGGTTTTTTTCGCAAAACTATTGCGTTATTTCACAATTTTTTTTTTAACTTTTAGAACTGTCACGAACAGGGTTCCGTATTATTTGTTCACTGTGTTGTGGTGCCGAGCTTTCTGACGTACTGTCCTTCATCAGGGCTCGGAGGCAACCAACCCTGATGGAGGGCAGGGGTCACATTCACGAAGACTTCGCAAAGTAATAACGAAGTCGCAAACACCTCGCTGACGCGTATTTCGTATTCACAAAAGCTACGCTTCGCAAACACTTAGGAAATGTTAGCGAATCCGCCATATTTTCGCAAACACAGCACAAAACGTTTGCACGTTATTCACAAAGGCCTCGCCACCTTTGCGATTTCGCAATCTCTTCGCAAAAGGTTCGCTAACTGGCTACTGTTTTTGCGACGAGTCCGAGGTCGTTGCTAACTCCTCGTAACTGACATTATGGCGCTGTTGCTCGCACTGGATGAAAAACGAATTACGCAGAAATATGGTGTTTCTGACCGCACCAACGCGTTAGAAAGACACAGTGATGATAAATAGTGACACATAAGGTATACAAAATTGATTGACCTCTCCAAGGGAATCAGACGTCAGATATGATGTCCCCACATCTGAAAATTATTTTCATGGCAGAAAGAGTTAACATTTAGACGTGGGTCATGAGAAAGTGGCATTTACAAGAGTAAATCTAATTAATATCTACAGATAGGGGATAGAAAGGTTATGACCTCTCGTTTTGGGTCCCCGGAGGTTAAATTTGAATTGTCCTATATATGGAAACTGTTCTTCATAGCATGAACACCTACCATTTAGACTTGGATCGTGATACTTGGATTTAGACTTGCGGTTTAAAAAGTAAATCTTACAAATAGCTATAAATAAGGTTTACAAAGGTCATTGACCTATACAAGGTCACCAGAGGTCAGATATGAATTGTTCCCACATATATTTATCATTTTAATTTTATGAAGACCTATGACGTAGACGTGGGTCATAGGAAAGTGAAGTTATGAAGAGAAGTTGTAATAAATACAGTTTGTAAAGGTCGTTGACCTCTCAAAGGTCACCGGGGTCAAATATTAAATGCCTCCATGTCTGAAAAAAGAAGACATGAAGAACTAACATGCGAAGTTTCATGCTTTTATAACACAAAATTGCAAAAATTCTCTGAAGTATTGGGGCTTTGCCACTCCACTATTGGGAGAATCGAGCTCTCCCTTGCGTTGCTGCCCGTCTAAAGCCCGGTTCATACTTCACGCGAATGCGAATGCGAAGCGAACTTGACGTCATCGCCCCTTCGCTGCGAAATTCGCCCGAGTTGAAACATGTTCAACTCTTACGAATTCGCAGCGCGAAAACTTGCCATGATGTCACAAATTTGCGTTCGCTTTCGCTTTCGCGCCGAGTATGAACCGGGCTTTAGGCATTGTAAGTATGCACGTATACCGATTTATATATGGATGATTGTGGGTCGAATGAATCATACCTAGTGATTACATAACACATAGTTTGGCGTATTCGCTGATGTATGACCCAAGTTAAAATTTTAATAAGAACCCACTGTTTAGACTTTGCGAAAGTTTGCCAACTTAGCAATTTCGCAATTTTAGCGAAAGCTTTGCTGAAACCTTCGTGAATACTACGCACCGCTAAGCTAGCGATTTCGCAAGTAGTTCGCTAATATTTGCGAGGCCTTCGTGAATTTGGCCCCGGATGTTCGAAAACTCGGCACCACCAACCTAACAGTGAGCACTATATACGACTATATATTGTCTTCTCTAGTCCCAATAGAGCCTGAAAGTGCGCCATTTTGTCTTTTAGATTTGTCCATAAATGTTAATTCAACTAAATGTAGTCCGAAAACACGTTTTAGCAGCCTGTTTAAGTTTAAGTTTTCACCCAACGACCGCCAAAATTTGTTTACGTAAATTTACGTAAGATATCTTGGTTAGGGCCGTTGATGAACGAATTCCCCTCTGAATAAATAATCAATCCGAATCATGTTTTACTTAACGTGTGATTATTTACGAGGTGTTGTACTTGTGAAATGTATTTGTGAATGTACGCCTCTACCACCTTCCCCCAACCTATTTCTGAGCGGGATTTCAATGACTCATTCTCTTTGGTATTATTTTTAGCCAGCAATCTGCTCGAGTGTTGAGGATTCCTTTTGTGATAGAGTTCAAGAAAGTTGCAGCAAGGTGAGTGTCTGTTATTTGACATTGTCCTCACACAACTATTAGAATAGAGGTAAATTTTGAGGGAGGCAGCATTTTTCTACACATTCATAAACTGGTTTTTTTCTTGGTAAAAGAAAAAAACGTCCCTTAAAGAGAAGTGATATTTTAGAGAAGTGAGGGATCGCTGCTCTCTTTGCATCCACCGCACACCCGTGCCCTTGGCAAGTCCTTACCTATCAAACCCATGGTGAACACCACACTGTTTTTGAAGTTGTTTGTAAGCTCTGGCATAACACTTGACAACCCCCTCAGTGTCCCATAAAATGTAATTACCAAATTAAAATCTTCACAAAAAGAGGAAACAAAATGTATTAAACTCTATTTCAAAAATTATATGAACCACTTCGAGAAGAACCTTTGCAAATGGAGGCAAGATAGTGTGTAGTAATGTTATTGTCAAGTGGTATAGCGCGCTATTAACCTAGGGGTCTTCTTCGTTAATTCGTTCGTAACAGACCTTGGAATGGGGAGCATACCTATGTTCCCCGATTACTATGTTCCCCAATACCGATGTTCCCCAAATTCTAACCCTAACCCTTTCCCTCGTCCGAAGGGTTTTGGGGAACATCGGTATTTGGGAACATAGGTATTGGGGAGCATCGGGTAGACCCCTTGGAATGCACACCTGTGCACTTGACATCACCTTGGCCAACTCATGCCACAGGCTCTGTGTCACTTTTAATGGGTCTCCAGTGAGGGAGACAGAGTTGCAATATCAAGGTCACTGAGTTTGCAATGTGACGATCAACAAAAAAAAATACCCTTTATTTCAACTGACAATCATGACCAAGTGAGTAATTGTAAATAATTTCGTGCAAAACTTTCAAGTTAAACGGCCGGAGATAATGGTGCACACCAGGCGCGGTTCTACCGGGGGGGGGGGGGGGCTTAGGCAAAATGTTGTCTAGCCCCCCCCCCAAAAAAAAATTCCGTAAAAAAAAAAATTGCATTAGCAAAAAGAAGGATTGTGATGAACATGCGAACGGTCTCCCCCTAAAGAAGAAATAGCCGTGACAAGGGTGCATTAGTTAATATAGTGTGAATGATTTTAGGATTTTATTGGCGCTCCCCATTGAAAATATGGCATGGCAAATAATATAGCCTTACAACATCAACGATATCTCTAGTTTGCATTGATGGATTTTGTTGATATTTTCGCCAATTATAAACAAGACTATAGGCTTTAAAATAATATACAATTTGATAAGCTAGTATGACCACCTTTGGAGCAAATCAGCGACTTTTTTTCATGCATAATGTTTATTGAGACACGCTGTCGTCTATAATAGACCCTTGCGAAGGGTAGATTAAATTATGCGAATGAAAACCTGCGGCTAGACCTCGAAATTCTGACCATTCAGCAGGCGCTTTCTATATCGGTGCGCGCATGGTCGGGACTGAAATCCAAAGTGCAGGAAATGCAATGCACAAGTTACGTGATTTGTTGTTTATTTATTTCTACGCGTGCATAAAGCTACTCTGAAATATCTTGAACTTTCGCTAAATTGAAGCGGATGGTGTAAACGCTTGCCCGTTTTTATGCAAATGTGAATAAAAGTTGTGCATAATTGAATGAGCAAAGTGTGGAATTGGACGAAAATTTTAAGCATGCATTTCATATTTGAATGAAGAATTCGCTGCAATTAATAATTACATTGACAAAAAATATAGCTCCTGATTGCTTCTCTCATGACTTTTCCTTAAATTTATCGGAGAGCAAATAATAACAAAATCAAATCGATGGGTTGCATTGGCAACCACATTTATAAGCTACGCGTTTCATGAAGTTTAGCCCTTGCTTCCACTGTTATATCGCGCCGAACACATTCTGTGAGTATTAAAAAAAAAATGATTTTCCAAATCTCTCGTCATAGGCTACATGGTTTTCAAAGGCCGGCGGATTGTCATGATGTCACTAATCTTCCACTTAATTGGACCTCAGATTTGTCCCTTTACTCTTCCATATTCTTCTCTCCTTTTTATCCTTTACAAATGTTCACCTGATTTGTTTTTGTTTAATATTTTTTTCTTTTCTGTACAGAATGAAGATCTACGTGGCAACCATTATTTCAATCGCCCTCCTCCTGGGCAACTCTGTCAACTTCGGTGACTCCACCCCGCAAGTGAGACGAGTGGACAGGTCATCCCGACTAGCTCGGTTCGAGACTAGAGATCTCCGAGTTTTAGTAGGACTACTAGCGAGAGAAACTAGCGTCAACCAGCGGGTAGCATTCACCGCGGTGAGGACGACCAACACGGATGTCTCTACGAGTAACGACACCCCTTTGCCCTTCGAGAAGACCGAGACGCTCCTGCCGGGTACCAGCTTCGATCTGAAGACCGGCACATTCACGTGTAGTGTGCCAGGCACCTACGTGTTTATGTTTTCTGCACTCAAATTTCATCCAAGCAGCGACCTGTTCGTTTTTCTCCGGAAGAACGGAGACATAGTTGTCACTAGCATTAGCACTGATTCTATTCATAATGAGCAAGTGTCTGGGAGCGCGGTGCTGGCTCTGCAACAAGGAGACACCGTGTATCTGACCTTATATGGTAAGGCGTTTAGTGGTTCCTGGCAACAGACCACATTCAGTGGCTTCCTCCTTTACCCCGAATAAATAAAGCAATCCCAACGCACCAGCATCGTTTTGCTGATTTTTTATTTGCTTTCCATTTTGTCGAAACTAGAACCAATGAAGGAAAATAAAGGATGCTCAATGTCACAAGAAAAATAAACTACCAGTATTCAGGCTTTTCGTTTATGCATGCGCAAATCTGTATAACAATACATATTAACACTTATTGAGTTCATGTGTTAAGATTTATAAAATGAGTATCAGATATTTGTATCAACTGTAGAGTGGAGTATTTGGATAGAATACTTTCCTTCAAAGCAATCTAGGCCCTAGTTATTTCTTTTTGTTCAAACAAAACCGTTTTGCAATAAAGCAGCGCCACAAGCATGTTGTTGAGACATAAACAAAATTGTGTTTACGATAACTGAACTACATGGAATTATTTTAGGCTAAAATTGCCAAACACAAAATTTATATTGCCACATTTAGCCAAACAAAACCATAAAATAAAATATTTCTTCAGGAAATTAATGCATCTATTTATGTTATTGGGTAATTAATCAATAAAAAGGGGGTAACGAAACCAGATATATCTAAAAAGGTATTACAAAGCAAATAAATATGTATAAAAGACAAATAAACATACAAACAAACTTTTCATGTTAGAGCGTAGGTGTAAACACACACTGTTTTAGCTGTCTGTTCCCTGTATGTCCAGCACAGATGATGACCATCATTGATTAATGAATCCTATTACATTGTATGTCAAGAACAATTTCTCAAAGTGGTGAATCTAATTTCCTTATTGACTTAAAGATTGGTGTTTGGAATAATAATTGTTTGAAATGTTGTCATGCTATTCATATCAATTTGCTGAAACGTTGAGACTTGCATGTAAAAAGTTATAGTTTACAGATTCTTTAGAAAAACATAGAATGCATTGGTTTTTTATCAAATGGTTGGATAATTTTAACATTATAATCTGTGAGAATTGTGTTTCAGTAACAATTGACTGGCTATTAAAACAATAGGCCAATATAGAAAAACATCCTTTCCATGATTACGAAAAACATTAAGGGCCTACCATTTAGTTTTTGATGAATATTTTGCTCGACATCAGTGTGCAAACCAATCTTTTCTTGTTAAGCAAACGATAGTTAACCACTTTTCATATTTTCTGAAATATAAAGGTACCCACAACAACGGAAAAGATGGCGTTTGCTGCAGAGTTTAAAACCCACGAAAAGTACGGCATTTTGTGTTTAAAAGACCCAAATTATATGATGTTTAATATTTTTTAACCAGCATTACTGTATTGCATTCTAGAAACTCACATTGAAAATCAAAATACACGGTACAATTTACATTAAAGTGAAGAGGGTTATACTCAACTGGTTGGAATTGTCTTTTGTCCCCAATTTTTGTAGTGACTTTTATTTTGATACCATATTTGGAAATAATAACCTACAGTAATCTCTTTAGGTGTGGACCTTATTTGGTCGTATAAGCATACTACTGTTATATCTTTAATGTACAATTCAATCCACTCACACGCAAGTAAAAGTGCGGGGAGTTTTGACCGTTAAATTGTAATTCATATAAAAGTATACCTAAAACAGTTTACCCATTCATATTGGTTCAGAGCCCGTCACGTGGCCGGTTTTAAACGGTTGATAAAGGCATGCGGCTTGCAGGTCCTAAACACGTTTCCAGTGTCACGTGAAATTTGGACTCCTAATGAAATCAGGGGCCAGCACCGTTTTATTGGTTGAACATTAACAAGCATCACATATAGGCATGCGCAATATGAGCAGTGAGTCAGTATTTCACAGTCCTATTAAATTCACACAACACCGGTACATGTGCTCTACGCCACATCACGTAGTACGCGCGCGCGCCAATCTACATATAAAAAGTGGTTTACACATAGGGTCTTACCACTGTATAGTTTGTAGTGTGGCTTTAAAGGGACATCGCACATATATATTGACGCCAATATTCACGACATGGCCCCCATGTCGCAAATATTGACGCCAATATTGACGCCAATAGTCACGACATGGACCCAAGTCGCAAATATTGACGCCAATATTGACGCCAATATTCACGACATGGCTTAAGTCGCAAATATTGACGCCAATATTGACGCCAATATTCACGACATGACCTAAGTCGCAAACCCACTCGGGCGTGAATATTCTTCTTCTTTTTTAGCAACCTAGGTAGCGATTCAAGCAACTTGTCTGGCGCGCCCTACTCTACAGCACACGCTTTTTAATATTGTGTTTGTGTTAGCGCGAACTTCCTTCGATGCAAGGACACGGACGTCCATTCAGTGTGACCGTAAGGTCAGAGCCAAATTGTGCTAAATGCACATAAAAAATCTGTCAGATTTATCAAAAATCTGCCAAATTCCCCAGAATTACTCGAAATACACTATAAACACTTAAAATCACATGTAGATTGGTAGTATTACCTTAATTAAGGTTCAGCTCACATTATAAACAATCTATAGTCACATAAAGATGTTATGAAATTATCCCGTAAATTTCGGGCAAAACGTGGATCCGGCCACGACGACGTTTCCAGTGAACTTCAGCACCTAGACCCAGTGTTGTAACGAGTCACTAATTTTTGTGACTCGAGTCGAGTCGAGTCATTTTAAAGAAGTGACTCGAGTCGAGTCGAGTCATTTTAAAGAAGTGACTCGAATCGAGTCGAGTCATTAGGTCAAAAGGTCGAGTCGAGTCGAGTCGAGTCAAATATTTAGCTCGAGTCAGTCCGAGTCACGATTATTTGAACACTATGTATACCAAAATTTATTAAAGGAGGCCATAACTTTAGCAAGCGTTCAAATCCAAAAGCTTTATAAGAAATCGCCCAAAACCAAAGATGAAACAGCGAATGAGAAAATGTGTTTAAAAATCTGGTTCCCAGAAAGCATTTTGTGCATTCTAGAACCAATTTATGTGGGAGTCTGTGACACTCGTATATTTGTACATGACTGCTATTCGCAAAGTAAAGTGAGCATAAATTTTGCACCGTCATTGCAAATACTTTTCGCAAAGTTGCGCTTTTTATTTTGGGACTCGATCGAGTCTTATTAGCCTTCGCTTGAGTCGAGTCGAGTCTTCTGATGAGGGACTCGAGTCGACTCCAGTCATTTGCTCGCAGTGACTCGAGTCAAGTCGAGTCATTTACCCTTAGGGACTCGAGTCGAGTCGAATCACCAAAAATTGTGACTCGAGTCGGACTCGAGTCAAGTCATTGACTCGAGTCATTACAACGTTGTAATGACTGGAGTCAATGACTCGACTCGAGTCCGACTCGAGTCACAATTTCTGGTTACTCGACTCAAGTCCGACTCGAGTCACAAGTTTTGGTTACTCGACTCAAGTCCCTAAAGGTAAATGACTCGACTCAACTCGAGTCACTGTGAGCAAATGACTCGACTCGACTCAAGTCACTGCGAGCAAATGACTCGACTCGACTTGAGTCCCTCATCAGAAGACTCGACTCGACTCGGGCGAAGGCTAATAAGACTCGATCGAGTCCCAAAAATAGAAAGCGCAACTTTGCGAAAAGTATTTGCCTAGACCAGCCAACCTGTCCCATTATGCCAGTGTTTGTTTGAAAGGATTGAAGATTTTTTAAACATATGTACCATTTTTTGTTCAAATTTGCGGTTCAAATTTGTGCTGTTTTTTTTTGTTCAAATTTGCTGTTCTCATCAAATCAAATTGACAACCATTTTTGCAGAATTGTGCCAGAAATCTGCCCCCAAAAAATCCATTCTGTCAAATTTTCTGTCAAACTCTAGTTTTTTACAAAAATTCTGTCAAATCGGCTAAAACGGTCACCTTGCGTCCAATGTACATGTACATCTATGGCTCACGCTGCGCCTCGCGACGAACGTTCAGCCAGAGATAGGTGTGTCTGGGTGCCAGACTGTGTGGGTAACGGACACCCCAAGTTGCTGTGAAAAAAAAATCACGCCTGAGTGGGTTTGCGACTTGGGCCATGTCGTGAATATTGGCGTCAATATTGGCGTCAATATTTGCGACTTGGGTTCATGTCGTGAATATTGGCGTCAATATTGGCGTCAATATTTGCGACTTGGAGACCATGTCGTGAATATTGGCGTCAATATTGGCGTCAATATTTGCGACTTGGCTGCATGTCGTGAATATTGGCGTCAATATTGGCGTCAATATTTGCGACATGGGGGCCATGTCGTGAATATTGGCGTGAATATTGGCGTCAATATATATGTGCGATGTCCCTTTAAAACCACCATAATTTTGAGGGTTGGTTGATCAACATCGTTTACAAATAATATTTGTTTCACTTGTTTTTACTCTTGGACCAAAACGTTTTGATTTGTTTTAACCGAATAGATATATATAATAGGAATAAATATGCAGTTGGTCGGTATTAAACACGTCGTTTAAGAATAGTTGGAGTCTGGATGTTCATAATTACCCGAGCCGAATCTAGACCCAACCTGTCTTAAACAGAGCATTTAAAACCTCCCAATCACACGTTTATTCCCTTAGCATTTATTGAAATTATATGTTGTCAATGTGACCGAACATCCCCCGATCTTCCTCTTAATTTATCTTGAGTAAACTGAAATCTTTGATGATTTAAAAAAAAAAAAATGTAATCCCCTTGACGAAATGTAATCGCCTTGACGAAATAAACATATAAAATACTCGAATTTTGTGACATTTCTTTCTGCTAAATTTCCAGAATTGTTGTGATCATTACCAGGGGCCATATTATTTCCAGCTTTGATATTGTGGCGGATCTCGATTTTCTCGAGAAGTGACGGTCTCGAGAACCCTCCAGACGAGCGGCAGTCCTAGGCTCCAGGGGTTTCCTAGGCTCCAGACGACCCTCCGAAGTCTCCCGAAGGCAGATGCCGATCCTCCTGATGAGCTCGACCCTTCGTCTCCCGCGAGGCAGTTGTCGATCCCGATACGTTAGGAAATGGGCTCCCAAGGGAAAGGGTTTACTTAAGGGAAGGGGTTTCCGTAAGGGAAAGGGGGTTTCTTAAGGGAATGGATTTCCTTAAGGGAAAGGGAGTTTGTCAAGGAAGGGGGTTTCCTAGGCTCCAGACGACCCTCCGAGGTCTCCCGAAGGCAGATGCCGATCCTCCTGATGAGCTCGACCCTTCGTCTCCCGCGAGGCAGTTGTCGATCCCGATACGTTAGGAAATGGGCTCCCAAGGGAAAGGGTTTACTTAAGGGAAGGGGTTTCCGTAAGGGAAATGGGGTTTCTTAAGGGAATGGATTTACTTTAGGGAAAGGGTTTCCGTAAGGGAAAACGAGTTTCTTAAAGGGAAATGGTTTCCTTAAGGGAAAGGATTTCCTTAAGGGAAAGAGATGTTCTTATCGATAGTCAACAATAAAAGTGCTTCACTAAGATCTGCCAAGTATGTCTTCGAAAGCAAATGGAGAATTCCTGCACAGAGGTAACAATAATAAACCCAAATATGCTGTCTTCAATCGAACGAGTATTAAGCTTCACTTAATCAAGTAAACCCAAGGATCAATTCCACAATTGCACCACTACTTATAAAAGAAAAGGAGTGTGTAACATTAACAATACAGCAGCTCAACACTCACGGTAAGATTTGCGGTCACTCCCCGACACAACACTCTGTCTGTCCCCACGATGCTTTTCTTAGTCTGCCACTCTACGGCGCGCCAAAACAGTCTGGCCAGAATGCGCGCGAACGCTGCCTTATATACCCCATTCTAAAAATAGCGCACAAGCTATGGCGGGCAAACGAAACATATAAAAAGTATGGAGCGCCGATTACATTTCGTTACACAGCCCCCCTCTCAAGTTCAGACCGTCCCGGTCTTTAAAACTAATACAACTTCAAAACGAAATGAAGAAGGCGCTCGTCTTATACAATATAAAACAAATTTTTAACTGCATACAAATATAAGGCGCCTGGACTGCAAAGGCAATCCTTAAGGTCTCCTTAAGGACACTCGCTTAAGGCACTAGATAATAAACGATTTATATAAAATAAAGTACAAGCCACTCTTCTGGGGTTTACTTTAAGGTAATCGAAAGGTAAATCTTTCCTCACCGTAAACAGTGATAAAACTTCTCTCCTTGAGACTTCATAAAAATGTACAAGTATGTTTACATATACTAGATAACATTTAAACAGTGCAACTTTTTCTTCTACTTCTTTTCTTTCTAATAAACATCTTTAAGATCACAACAGGCAATAATAAGGCACAATCTTGAATACAAAAGGTTCCTTCTTAACACAGTTACCTACTGCAGTATTTGTACACTTTGATCGTTGGTGACACTTCTTCATACAAGTTTACAAAAATAAAGACTCTGCTTTCGCAAAATGCGAGAGTTAACTTGCTTAAGTTATTTCACAAAAGGTAAAGAAAATAAACATAATCAACTTCATACTGCAAACAAACTACAAGTTATAAAAATATCCTTAATGTGATCAAGTTTCGGCGAACGAGCTATCTTTAATCAAAAACAAAACCGGCTTCGAAGGTCACGTCGTAGATCCTTTCTGTTATTTCTTCTGAGATCTTGACCCCACCATGGAAGATGCTGCGTGTCGAAACTTCTTGCAGTCGCTGCACCCTACCCACCATCATCCTCTCCAAGTCGGTCGTAGAAGCTGGCTTTGCAGTGGCACCAGGGTCACCATCAACTTTATACATCCTTGCAGATGCTGGCTTGGCTTCCAGCTGACGTCTTGACTGCTCAGAACTACTCAGCAGTTTCAGCCTACTTCCCTTCAATACTCGGCCTACATCTACTCGAGTAGACACTTGCTCAGGTGACAGGCTTCCTTCGCTCTCCTGGCTCTTGGACTTACTATTTATCTGTAAGCCGCTGCTGTCCTCACTGTCGCTGCTCGACTCCAATTCGTTCGCAAGCAGTTGTAGCATGCCTCTGGGTTTCCCCCGGACCGGAACACAAGGAACAGCAGGAACCTCGCTGCTTGGGCACTGGTCAATCAGGGAATTTGATGCAGGGGATAGAGAGATCAAGTGTTCCGGGGTACTTGGATTCTGGTTGATGCCACTTGCCGCTTTCCTTGGAGAATCTTTTGGAGTCGTTGGAGGTGTCTTGTCCTTCCTCCTTGGTGTGTTCTGGCGTTTCTTCGGATCTGGCTGCTCCCGCGGCTCTGACTGCTTCCGCTTAGATCCGGCCTGGGGTAATTGAGTTGGAGTTTTTGATACTTCCCTAGGTGGTCTGGTCTCCGTGTGTGTACCCTTCCTACCCTCTCTCGACTTCAGTGCTGTATCCTGTTTATCCTTACTCATCCTGTGGTGTCTTTCGTCCGTGGTTTCTGCAGGAATGTCCGCCACCTCATCTACGGCCGACGGATGGTGTTCACGGTAGTGGGCTCTTAAGTTGTCCTTCCGAGTGTAATGACGTTCACAAAGATTGCAGAAGAACATTATCTTAGTTTCATGCATCTGCGCATGCTTCTCCAAGCTCTTCTTGTATACAAATGATTCGCCACAAACGTTGCAGCGAAGGATCTTCACCTCGTGCCAGTCTTTTGGCCTGACGAACTCGTCCCGTTTGTCCATCTAGTAAGACAAAATTGAAACAAAAATATGGCATTTGTTATTATCAAAATGGCGAGTGCAAATCTTTCCCACTACTACCCTTACTCCAGGTATCGTTTGGGGCGCTTACGTTCCCTCTTAGGATTCCTTCTTCCCACCGAACCCATTCCTTGGGGAGCAATATTAAACCCTTTCTCCTTCGACTGCCCGTGTGTTTCTAGCCTTTCAGAATGCTGTATGTCTTCCCTATTTTGCTGGTTTTGTGAATTGGCCTTCTTGGCCTTTCCAGACGTAGACCCTTCAGGTAGATCTTGTGTCTTAGCCCATCCAGGTAGGTCCTGCGACTCAGCCCCTATAGGCAGGTCTTGTGTCTCAGCCCATCCAGGTAGGTCCTGCAACTCAGCCCCTATAGGCAGGTCCTGCGACTCAGCCCCTTCAGGCAGGTCCAGCGACTCAACCTCTTCGGGAAGGTCCAGCGACTCAGCCCCTTCAGGCAGGTCCAGCGACTCAACCTCTTCGGGAAGGTCCAGCGACTCAACCTCTTCGGGAAGGTCCGGCGACTCAGCCCCTTTAGGCAGGTCCTGCGACTCAAACCCTTTAGGAAGGTCCTGCGACTCAGCCCCTTTAGGCAGGTCCTGCGACTCAAACCTTTTAGGAAGGTCCTGCGACTCAGCCCCTTCGGGATGGTCCAGCGACTCAGCCTCTTCGGGATGGTCCAGCGACTCAGCCCTTCCAGGCCGTGCACGTTTCCAGGGATCTAGTGGTTTCCCCTTGTATGGTTTCAATCTGTCACAGTGGATGACTTCAATTTTTCCTCCACGCCGCTTTTGAATCCGGAACGTTACATCTGAAAGTTTGTCTTGAATCAGATATGGGCCTTCCCACCGACATTGTAGTTTGGGCGAGATTCCCTTCTTCTTTGCAGGGTTATACTTCCAGGCAAACTGGCCTGGCAAGTACACCTCCTTGCACGTCCTCCTGTTGTAATTCAGTTTCTGTCTTCTAGCGCTTTTTCCAAGCTGTTCTTGAGCTCTGTCATGTAGTTCACTCCCTTCGGCTGGTTCCATCAGACCCAATCCAGAGAATCCTGCGACCACTCTGCCGGTAACCAGGGCTTCATGCCCTCCAGGAACCGTGGTCGTTTCCTGAACGATGACTCTAGCACACAGATTTGTTCCTTCTTTGTCCATACAGCGGACCCTTTCCCCGTTCAGGTCCAGCACGGAATTTCCAAAATCCAATTTCCCGTTCGTGGTTCTAAGAAAATCAATTCCTAGTATCCCTTCCACAGCAACGTCAGCAAATATTGCATGTACAGGGCAGGTTGTCCTACCCACCCGAATGTCAAGCCAGGCACTCCCAACAGCGTTAACGGGGCTTCCATCTACGCTATATAGTTTCCCTCCGTCCGTTGTGAGTACCGGCCGTGCCTGGGGTTCCATCCTGTTATACAAGGCTGTCGACAAGACAGTATCAGTTGCCCCTGTATCAATCAAAAGATGAGCCTGCAGTCCCCTGACAACCGCAGACACGAACAAACCCCCCATTTGTCTGAATGATCCAATAATTGCTCCCTTTGTTTCTCGCTGCTCACTTACAAAGGCTTTTGTTTGTCCTCCACCATCACTTCCTTCGTTGCTTGGCCCTGGCTCTCTGGCAGCCTCCCCATGGGCCACTGGGATGGCTGAGCTCCGTTTCCCTGCTGTGACTTTCTCCTCTCATTAGGCTCAGGACAGTCCCTGGCGAAATGTCCCTTGCGTTTACAATTGTAACACGCATCCTCTGCACCTGCCTTGCGACGGCTATATTTGGCTTCCTTGGCTTGCCTTGCGCCCAAGTCCTTTTGGAATGGAATTTCCTTCGTCACGGCCCTTTCCTGTAAAAGGGAGTGGATACTCCTAATAGCCTGGCTCATTTCCTCCCGATTCTCCCGAATCTCCCTCTTCAGGCTCTCCATTGTCGAGTCCCCTTCCGTTTCTATCATTCTGACGTACTTCCTTGCTTTGTCTCCGGCCCTTCTTTCTTCTGTCCTTAGGAAGCTCTCAGTCGCCAAGGCGGCTTTGATCGAATTGTCTAGCGTATCAGGCATCGACCTGAATGTCCCTTCCCTGATAGCTCGGTCGGTGATTGCGTCCATGAAGTGTCCTTTAGCAAGGCGCTCCTTGCTTTCGTCCGAAAATTCTGGGTATGCCAGTGCTGCCAATTCCCTTATGCTCTGCCCAAGTTCCTGAAGACTTTCGTTTTCCCCTTGCCTTCGATGGCGCAATTCCATTAGGTGAAAATCAGCCTGTTGGCCCGGTCCAAACCTCTGGTCTAGTCGACTAAAGAGCTCCTTGAGTGAGGGCTCCTTACCTCCTGATTGGCACCCGAGTACCTTCAGGGCAGGACCCTGAAGACTCGCTGCCAGGAATACAGCTGCCTGTTTGTCGTCCCAGCCATTGGCTTTACGATATGCCTTGAAATGCTCTTTATAGTCCTTCCATGGGACTTTTCCAGTAAACCTGTCAGGGCAGATGTTGGGTTTCTTAAGCACGCCTTCCTTTGGTGCTACTGTTTCCTTATCCAGGGGTGGCGACTTGCCCTCATCCTTCACCTTTGCTGGTTGAACTGTTTTGGCTGCAACCTCTTTCTCCTTTCCTGTTGTCGACACAACTGTGTTGGCAGGAGTCCGTAATCCCGTCCTAGGAGTTGTCCTGAAGGTGCTGGAGACTGCAGGGCTGGGTGTATCGAAAAACAACTCTGGGGTGTCCATCCCTGTCATCCTTCCGGGACTCTGTTTTCTTCCTCTTTCCTCTAGTAAAGATCGCATGCTGATGAGCTCCTCTTCGAGAATCCTCTTGTCCTCAAGTGCGTCCCTCAACATGGTCTCCCCTCTGTCTGCCTCGATTCGAAGAACAGCTATTTCCTCCTCCAATAGCCCAACGTCCTTAGCATCCATATTTTAAGTTCAGTCTTCCTTATGTGGTAAGTAAATCTATCGTTGGGTTGGTTAAATGAAACCAATGAGAATAATTTGTTACGCCTTATCCCACTTCTGACACCAATGTGGCGGATCTCGATTTTCTCGAGAAGTGACGGTCTCGAGAACCCTCCAGACGAGCGGCAGTCCAGATGGTCCTAGGGCGATAATCCGTTTGGAGACTGTCTGTCGCCGCACGTAACTAATTTTCCCTTATATTGTTCGAACGATAAATCTACCCAACCAGACAATAAGTGGGACCCAGACACACAAGCTAAAGCTTCAAGAAGTCTCTTTATTCAGCCATGCAACAACTGCAGTTGCTTTACTAAAAATGCCTCAACAAAAGGCAAGTACTTAAAAAGATGGGGGTTTCCTTAAGGGGAAGGGTTTCCTTAAGGGGAAGGGTTTCCTTAAGGGAAAGGATTTCCTAAAGGGAAAGGGAGTTTCTCAAGGAAGGGGGTTTCCTAGGCTCCAGACGACCCTCCGAGGTCTCCTGAAGGCAGATGCCGATCCTCCTGATGAGCTCGACCCTTCGTCTCCCGCGAGGCAGTTGTCATTCCGGATACCTTAGAAATGGGTTCCTCAAGAAAGGGGGTTTCCTTAAGGGAAAGGGAGTTCTTTAAGGGAAGGGGCTTCTTAAGGGAAGGGATTTCCTTAAGGGAAAGGGAGTTTCTCAAGGAAGGGGGTTTCCTAGGCTCCAGACGACCCTCCGAAGTCTCCCGGAGGCAGATGCCGATCCTCCTGATGAGCTCGACGCTTCGTCTCCCGCGAGGCAGTTGTCGATCCCGATACGTTAGGAAATGGGCTCCCAAGGGAAAGGGTTTACTTAAGGGAAGGGGTTTCCGTAAGGGAAAGGGGGTTTCTTAAGGGAATGGATTTCCATAAGGGAAAGGGAGTTTGTCAAGGAAGGGGGTTTCCTAGGCTCCAGACGACCCTCCGAGGTCTCCCGAAGGCAGATGCCGATCCTCCTGATGAGCTCGACCCTTCGTACGTCTCCCGCGAGGCAGTTGTCGATCCCGATACGTTAGGAAATGGGCTCCCAAGGGAAAGGGTTTACTTAAGGGAAGGGGTTTCCGTAAGGGAAAGGGGGTTTCTTAAGGGAATGGATTTACTTTAGGGAAAGGGTTTCCGTAAGGGAAAACGAGTTTCTTAAAGGGAAATGGTTTCCTTAAGGGAAAGGATTTCCTTAAGGGAAAGAGATGTTCTTATCGATAGTCAACAATAAAAGTGCTTCACTAAGATCTGCCAAGTATGTCTTCGAAAGCAAATGGAGAATTCCTGCACAGAGGTAACAATAATAAACCCAAATATGCTGTCTTCAATCGAACGAGTATTAAGCTTCACTTAATCAAGTAAACCCAAGGATCAATTCCACAATTGCACCACTACTTATAAAAGAAAAGGAGTGTGTAACATTAACAATACAGCAGCTCAACACTCACGGTAAGATTTGCGGTCACTCCCCGACACAACACTCTGTCTGTCCCCACGATGCATTTCTTAGTCTGCCACTCTACGGCGCGCCAAAACAGTCTGGCCAGAATGCGCGCGAACGCTGCCTTATATACCCCATTCTAAAAATAGCGCACAAGCTATGGCGGGCAAACGCAACATATAAAAAGTATGGAGCGCCGATTACATTTCGTTACACAATGCATGCGACATGCTACCCTGTCTGTCTTCATTGCATTACGACTGGCGTAAAGGGTATGAACTTCTGCTGTCATAGCGAAACAAATTACGTTTTTTCCTTCATCTTTTTACCTGACGGAGGAAGCTGGAATTTCGTTTGCAAAGATGCTCGGTTCAGAAAAGGTGAATTTGCCGATCTATGCTTTCGTCGTAAACATCCTCAGTACGAACCTTCATGTCTTGTGAAGACTATTCGTGTGCGTAATTCCTCACACGATATTGGTTGATTTGATTCACAGGGTTTCATTTACAGCTCTATGGCTTAGTTGAGTGCATGTGTACTGCTGCATTATCTTCAATTAAACTTGAATCCTCAATCCTGATTGGTCAATCCATGGCAACTTGAACAAGCCGTGCTACATCAACC